GTTATAGTAGGTACATATAAAGTGTTTTGAAGGACCATTTCATGTCATCCATGTAATAACAACACCATACTACCAATAGCTTCAACCTTCTTCACATTCCCGTCCCCAACTTTAACGGTCCGTTGGTTGTTTTCCAGTATTTTCCTTCTATGGAATGCCTGCAATGAATTAGTAACGTGAATCATTGATCCCGTGTCAAGCCACCAAGTATTAGAAGGCACACTAATTGAAAAAGATTCACAAATCATGTAATAAATAGGTGTACCTTTCTTCGCCAACCACTCCCTAAATTTTGGGCAATCGTGCTGAATGTGACCAAGTTTCTTGCAGAATCTACACTTGGCCTCTCTCTTAGTTCCACTTGTACTAGGACCAGTTTTCTAAGACTTGTTCGGACCAGTATTTGATTTATTCCCCTTGTATGAACCCTTTGCGCCATCATTGAACTTCCTCTTATTGGAAGTAGTGGTGGTAAGATGAGCAACGTCGGGTTTTTCTATTTTTAGACGCTCCTCTTCTTGAACACACATGGCTATTAGTTCACTCATCTTCCATTTTTCCTTTTGAGTATTATAGTTAATTTTAAAAGGCCCGAATTGAGCCGGAAGGGAAGTCATAATGAAGTGAACTAAGAAGCCTTCGGATATTTCCATGTCCATACTTTTAAGTTTGTTGGCCATGTCATTCATTATCAATATGTGTTCACGTACGCCACTAACTCCATCGTACTTAGTTGTGAGCATTTTAAGGATAAGTGTACTAGCATGGGCTTTAGAGGTGCCTTTGAATTGCTCCTCAACCGAGTTAAGATATCCTTTTGCCGTTTCAGAATCAGGGATTGCTCCACGAATGGCCAAGGAAATGGAGTTTTTGATGATCATTAGAGACATGCGGTTTGATCGTTCCCACTTATCGGTAACACGTTTTTCCTCAACCGTAGATTTATCGGTTAAGGGAGGAGGGTGATCAACCCTTAATGCAAAGTCTAGTTCCATCACTCCAAGTGCTATTTTAATTTGCTCAATCCATGAGGAATAGTTCATCCCATTAAGGAGGTCAATGGAGGAAAGTAAGCCAGTATGACCGACCAAAGGGGCTGAAATTTCAGTATCAGTGTAATTAGGCTCTTTAAGCATTAAAATCAAAAACAATTAAGGGGTACAATAAGGACAATAATAACATATAATCTAATTAGAACACAATGAAATTATTGATAAATTCATAATTTAATTGCCAACCTAACGTTGGTCAAGCAAAACAATTAAATTACTAAAATCCTATAGGCATATCATGCATACATATAAATCGCATATCACCGTTGGGCAGAAAATATGACAAATATGCAAATAATGCTTATACTTCTTTGTTCAAATTGTCAATCAATTTACCGTTGGGTTCATTGAATGACAATTTAAACAATTATGTACAATAGCATAATTAAACTTTTACATTAATTTAGATAACTATTCGTTGGATTAGTTATCTAAATTAACATCAAAGTTGCTACTTGTTTAATTAGGGTTTTATTGAGATTAAAAAAAACATGCCGTAAGGAAATTCTCATGAAATTCGAAATATGCAGTAATCATATAATCAATATTGAATTTATGATGGTGTCATCCAAATATGAATTAATTTAAATATGATGTTCAATATGGAATTTGATGATATGATGTCATCGAAATATGCAGTAAGCATATGAATCGATTTTTTTCAAAATTTTTGCCAATTTAAGCATACATATATGTTTCGTCTCGATGTATGCGCCATAGTAACTATATTATATTCATACTGAATTCATATCATAATTTTTTTTTTTTTTGAATTCAACCATATAAGAAATCATATCGAAGTATGCGACAGTAAGCATATTATATGTATATTGAATTGATTTTTCAAAATTGACGGGTTAACAATTATATACATGAGATTTTAATCCGCTCTGATACCACATGTGAAATCAATCAAACATATTAACAGGATCAATCTCATAATTCTTATTAAGAGATGAGATTAAAGATACATACTTGAAGAGAAGTTCATAGGATGTTGATTTGTARAAGATGAAGAAGCCATTGATTATCCTTCAATAGTCCTCTTAATTACCCTTAATGATGATGGATTAATTGTCGTATGTGTTCTTGATGAACTCTCAATTATTATCCCTTTCTTGGTGCCATCGTTTGTTTCCAGTGAGAGAGAGATTTTTAGACTTAGGGCAACAGAGAACATAAATGAATGATAACCAACATATAAATAGTTAATACATAGGGACCAATATTGACCATCACAATAGTTAGAGGACCTACATGTAAATATGGGAATAATTAATAATAAGAGAATAATTATGGATTAATAAACTTATATGTATAATGATATTAATAGTTTAGGCCATATTAATTAAATAAATCTTACATTTTTTTCTTCGATATATGTAGGAACCCTCTCTCTTCAAGGATTCTTTTGAAGTGTACTATGATGGGGTTCTAGATATTCTCACAATTATAATCATGGGGCTTATGATAGGTTACTGAAGGTGAATGTTGATGTGGGATGGGAGGTGCTTGTTCGTGGTGAGAATTTTCAAAGGTAAAATGGTGAGTGCAAGTTTATTTGGACAGAAGTGATCAGTACAAGGGTCACTATCATATAAATATTGAAAGGACATTAACCATATCAACAAGTATAAATGGATATAAGGTTGGGCCTTTGGGGATTCTCCTTAGACGTCATCGGTTCGAGTCCTGTTAGGCCACCGGGGATTAGTCGAGGTTCGTGGAAGCTGCTCCCGAGACCCAGGGTTAACAAAAAAAGGATAAATGAATATGGAACCCAGAATGGAGAAGGTAGGAAATGTTATAAATGAATGAAACCTAAATTTTCCAGTAGTGGTATTGTGGTTCGGTATTTCATATGCCAAGTGTCACAGGCTTATTATCATATAATGAGATTCAAGTTTCTTTGGCGTTCTTCCGACCGTTATACATGCTCTATTAAAATCCTTCTAGACAGTAAGGAATAACTGGTACATGGAGACAACAATGCAAGTGCAGAAAACTCTAAACACATATACAAGAAGATGAGCTAGCTAGTCTAACAGCGTTTGCGCTTTTCATTTGACATCATAATGTTATAGATATTAATTGGTAACTTTGGTAGTGGTCCTGCTAGCTGTTAATTGTCTTTCATGTGCAGCTATATATGAAGCTATTTGAAGTCTTTAAGATATACCCTTTAATGTAAATCAGTGAACGAAGTTTGCAGCCATGTATTTTATTACAAAATGTTCATTTTCGTAAGATTTTGGCACACACTACGACAAAAGCTGCTTTATAAGATGTCAAATATGTCTAAATGTCTCAATAGACTATTTTATAGGACTTATGTTTATAGTATCAAAGAATTGTGTTTAAAGTAGGCCTTCTGGTGGCGTCCTAATAAACAAAAGTTATGTATGACACTTTGAAAAAGTGTCTTATAAAAACAAGTATCTTATAAAAAGATGTGTTTATAGCACTTTTCTCAAAAGTGTCGTATAAAAAAAGTTGGTAGGACCCTTTATTTCAAAAATCTTAAAAAAACTTGTTAGAATGCCCAAAAGCATTCTATCGATTTACTGTAACACTTTTACAAATGACGTATAATTGTTTGGTAAACGGCTCTTTAGTAAATTATGATGGCGGTGCTTGTATCAGTTAGGAGTTACTACCACTGTAATAGTAAAATGGTCCCACACTAGAATGACAAGTTTTTGATAAGAACGGCGTACGTTAAGGATAAAATCTACGGGGAGGGTTCCTTCTTGAATTGGGACGTTTGAAAGGAGTAGGACCATGTGCCAAATGGGAATCCTACAAGACAGAAAACGCTAGTTTACAAAATATCCTCTAATCCCTTCTCAACCAATTATCATCCATCTCCCACTTGGATTCCATGGCCCATCTCACCTATATAATTTACATTTCCTTATTTGCAGTGAAATGAAGATCATCATCATATCAGTTATCTGTGCAGATGGCCGACTCTTCGTCTTCATACATACACATGGTATGTCATCATTTTGATTGATTAATCTACATATATACACCATATATATATATATATATATATATATATCATGTAGTAGTTGATCATGATTAATTAACTGGTTTGATCAATTCGATGTATATATAGGTACAACATCTTATAGAAAAGTGTCTGATATTCGGTATGAGCAAAGAAGAATGCATGGAAGCCCTTTGTAAACATGCAAATATCAAGTCAGTCATCACCTCCACTGGTAATTAGTTTAATTTCTCCTCTCTTCATATTGTAACTTATACATACATGCATACATTGCCAAGAATCTCAAGGTTTTCTTTGAATGCTGTCTAATCTGGAATCTTGAGACCTCGGAGTGATATGTTAATGGCTGCATGGAAGTTGGGTGTTCTAATTAAAACATTGTAAAAAATGAGACGATGCACAGGCGTGTTTGTGGGCGTGGTGAAAACCGAACCAAACAAACCCAGTAAATCCCATGAAGCGGTAGGGTTTGGGATAGGATGTACGCTGCCCTACTCTGTTAAAAGGAGTATATATCTGGTTTGTGAAAATCTTCACAAAGATAATTTTACAACGGGATCAAGAAACATCATTGAAGTATTTTGTAATGCTAGGATAGTTGATCGCAGTATTTGAACCATTTCTAGTCGATTTTCATACTAAATATGATCATGGTAACCATGCAGTGTTAGAAATTCTGGTTTTCGATAGCTTAGAATCCACTGAAAGTCGGGGCTCTGCCCCTTAGATCCCGCCACCGGGGGCGCTACCCCCGGACCCCCGTCGTTTAGGGGCTTCGCCCCTAAATCAAAATAAACTCAAACAAGTGTGCACTCCGCACCTTCCTTACTTGATCAATATTTATCATGATTACATTAGTCAACAAATTAATCCCATTACACTTAAATGATATTAGTGATACAAATCACCAACATGCAGTGTGGGCCGAGTTGGAGAAAGAGAACAAGGAATTCTTTGAGTCCTACTGGCAATCTCGGTCTGGGTACTCGAGAAAACCTGATCAGATGTCTGAACCCGCAGCAAATGATCAGATTTAGAAGACGGTATTTGAGCATTACTCAACAAGTAGCTGGTATATATGAAAGAAACATCCTCGTATATGATGTAGGCTTGTGATAACATGCCATATATGTTGCACATGGCCAATTGGGTAAACCTACAGACTGTATATACATGTAGATACCAGTTTGCGGTGCCTGCAAAATGACCCGATTGCCCTTTCGAGCTTGTGATGATAACACAGTTATAAAAAACCTTTGGGGGTATTATGGTACATTTGATTAAGATGATAATAGTGTTGGGTGGTGTTGGGAATAAGTCGCTCTCTAATGTGACGCGAGCATATGTATAAAAATGAATGATTATATCGGTTTGCTTCCATGTGTTTGATAATTGATAATAATCTATGAGTTTGTTATAATTATCAAGAATTAAAAATCTGGTGAATATATATATATATATATATATATATATATATATATATACTTGGAATCATGTGAGACCAAAGGTTTTTCGTGAGACCTGTAAGATCAATTCTCAACCATTGGATTAGATCTACAATCTAAATATTCATAATCACAAAATTGTCACCGTGCAACTTTAGACCATTAGATCATTAGCTTATAAAGTTGATCAATGAACATAAATTAGTCTTACGTATCTCATAAAAAAAAAACTTTTGATCTCTAGTAAACCCAACTTTATAATAAAGTATAATGGAGTGGCAACTCCAATAATAGTCCTTGCAGAAATGATTGAAGTGGGGTTAGCTTCTACCTCCTTTACTTTGGGCTTTTCAGTAGCGTCATTTTCGGAGGGGTATATGTTTATTTTTGTCTACAATTATATGATTTATGGATGTTGAAATTCATGAGAACCATCACAACGATTTCAATCCTCAACAAGCTTTAAACAATGTCATTATAACCAAAAAACTTTACTCTTTTTCAATAACCTCTAAAAACTTGATGCCACATCTATCATTCAAATCAAAAGTTTATTTGAGGTTTATTTTATAGATGAAATGTGTACGTTTTTTTTGTAGGAGTACAAGTTTCTTGACTTTGCATAAAACCTTCCCTTAAAAGTGTATTGAATAAGTCACTTTTTATATCATTAAACCACTACTAACATCCATGTATAGCGGATGTTGATCGAATAAGTTGCGCGTCCAATTAAGCCACTAACAATCATGTTCTTTAGTTCTTAATTTTCTAACCGTGTGTGTCCAAGTCAGTTTATGCACACCTCAACTAATCTCAAAAGGTCTTGAAGAACGGCCAGAAAAATTGCTAACCCCGAGGTTTGTCGCACTTCTTAATTATTATGTTAACTCTTGGTTTTGAAAAAGAATGAAATGGAAAGAATGTTAACATTTTGATTGTTATTGATGATATATATATATATATATATATATATATATTGCGGTGGTTGGGTTAATATCGAGCAACAAATTATAAGAATACAAACATACAAAATCCAAGTGATAAATTGTTTGTTTATGACAATTACAGAAGGTTTTTTGCTTATTTTGTCATTTTAGTAAACATTAAATAATAAAGGCATTCAACTATCGATGAGGTTTGCGTTTGAGAATTCTTCTTAGAAGTTATTGATTCGAGTCTTGTAGTCACCGGGATTAGTCAAAGCGCGCTAACTGACCCGGACAACCACGGTTAAAAAATATAATAAAACATTCAAATAAGACTTGTTTTTGTATGAAAAACATGAAACTGTTGGAAAACAAGACTTAGAGACCGTTTACTAAACGCTTACCCGGTAAGTATTTATTGGGCGATTTTCCTCACCGGATAAAAATGGCAAGGGCCAAGAATCTTACCCAGTAAGAACGATGACAATGATGGAAAACCTTACCCAATAAGTGAGGGTGACGACTTACCAAGTAAATTGTTGCATAAGATATGTTTAGATATACTATAATCTTATCCGATAAACAAATTATAACATTGACTCCTACTGTAAGCGCTTACCGCGTAAGCATTCGGGACGGAGTGGAAGAAGGGAGGGTAAGCTATTACCTCACCAACTAGCTAATCAGACGCGAGCCCCTCCTCGGGCAGATTCCTTGACTACTTTACAAATGAAAGTCTATCACCACCTATTTATACTCATCTAAGTACAAATATAGAGATATCATATGGGGATTTCTTCCACCACATTAGGATTTTGATGTTTTGGCTACTTCACGAACAATTTTTAAGTGAAGAGGCCGTTAAAAAATACTAACACGATTAAAATCATCGCTCTCGCTTGTCTTTAATGACAGATCCAGAAACTTTTATCATTCGGGACACATATAAAGGTGTCAAAAATCCAAACCACATAACTTATCCAAACTAAAATGGTTTCAGATCATTCAGTTTTCAAACTAGACGGTTTGGTTAACGCAATAAAGATAATTTATTTGACCTGGTTTTCGAATTAAACAGTTCGGTTAACCCAATAAATATAGCTTCTTCGGTTAAGATCCTTGGTTCTTGTCGTGCCTCTTACCTAGTAAGATTCTTGATCCTTAAGTCTTGTTTGGTTTGTAGAAATGGAATGGATTTGAGGGGATTTGCATTTCAATCCCATGTTTGGTTTGTTGGATTGTCCGGATTTTGAAATCCTTAGGAGGTGCTTGGAATTTCATGGGATTCCACGATTTCGTAGAATTGTATGCAATAAGGTTTAAAAAATTGTTAATTACATTTGTTTTGTAATAATCCATTAATAAAAATGTAATTTAATTATTGTTATAATAATAAAAAATGGAATTCAATTCCATTCCAAATCCTACAAACCAAACAAACAAAGGATTCCAAATCCTTCTATGAAATCCAAATCCCCTCAAAAACAATCATGCAAATCAAACGCACCCTTTGTATGCTCATTCGGTAAAGCAAGTGACCTAAAGTCCAAGTACAAATACTAATACGAGTACCAACCCTTCATACAGTTCGTTATGTTTACGCAGGCATCATAAAAGGCTAACAAGCGCAACAAACGTACATCGATCTAACACAAGATTCACGACCATAAACGCAGAAAATTAAAACTATTTATAGTTTGGAACCAGGATGGCTTCATGCACTAACCTTTGACCCCCATCCAGCAACAACATGTTCTTTAGCCGCATTCGTTTTCTTAAAGGACTCGCCAGAAAACAGCAACTGCACGACAAAACGTCACAAGTTTCTGCGCAACAAAACCAGAACCCACACAACATCCCTTTCAAAAGAACATACTGGTGTACCTTTGTGTAGTTATGCACATGAGTCAGACTTTCAGGGATAGTCCATTTCTTGAAATGACCAAGAGCCACCTCCAGGTGATACAGCTTCGGTCCCAAACTCAAATCAACGGCTGTGATCTTTTCTCCGTTCACATAAGGCCCCTGATATGTAAGCTTATAGATTAGTTTCCGTTCGATAAAAAAGTTGAAATTTTGTATCGACTGAATAGTAAAAGAAGCAGTCATCTTGTTTACTAAGAATTGTTTCATAAAGCATACATGATTCTTGAGGTGTTCATCCAAAGCCTTCAACTCCTCAACCAAAGCTTGCTCCGTCCCATCGTTGGCATCCTTGCTCTTTAAGAACGCCACAAACTTTGGGAAAATCTTTGACCCCCTATCGTTTCACGTCACAACTAAAAACGATGACTTTATGCAATCGATTGACCAATTCGGTCTAGAGTATTACGTGTGAGAAAGTAATGGAAACAAAACAACACTTAGGGCCCCTATAATATAAACCAAAGCAAATGAACCCCGTATATCCCACTCAAAAGTAGTCACGGGGTGGGGGTTGAATGAAGGCAGACCTGTCATCTACCCCAAAGGGTAAAACAGCTATTTCCATGAAAACTCCCTGCTTGTGCAAAAGGAAAGAAAGACCAAGACTAATAAATAGTAAGCAACAGAAAAGGGTAAAAAAGGAAACACATAAAAACCAAGGAAACACACATCCCTCCATATTAATGATGCCATTGAGTAACCACAAGGGTGGTGCCTGATTGGTTTGAGCTTGGCTCCAAAGGTCAAAAATACCAGGAGGTCCTAGGTTCAAATCCAAGGAGGAATAAAAATCCCCTTGTGGCCACGGATGTTTAAATGCAGTGACTCTGGGCTATCTGCAAAGCAGGTGGTCGCCCTGGGATTAGTCGGCTCGCATAGCGGGTTGGATATCCAGGTTAATAACAAAATGATGCCATTGAGACACTGATAATCCTGACTCAAATGGGAAGTTCCTATTTTTGTTGGACCCCTATGACATTATGCCATAATTTTTTACAAGTAGGGGGGACTTACGAAAGCAGTCGTTCTACTCTTTGGGATAGAGGAAAGGTTTGCGTATATGGGTTTGTTTAGTTTGGTTTTCAATACTTGAATCGATAGCTACGGTCGAAATTCATTTGTTTGAGACAGAATCCCAAGTAGAATTGCATCTATATTGAAGTGCATAAGAATCTACATTCCTTTTTCTTCTTGTTCTTAATTCTATACTGTTTTCTTCACATGGTGAAAACTGATTTGCGATTGCCCGTTGGACGTAGCCTATTGGGTGAACCACGAAAAACTCGGCATATCTGTGTCCATCTTTTGCTTGGTTAAACACAACCGATACAGCATAGCCGATCTGCTTAAAATTTGGCCCGCTTTGATGAAAAAATAACCTTTTCAACATTTATGAATTGCTCACTCGCAATCCCCCATTCCAAACTTATATGACTTGTAAATTTAGCTAAAGTCAAAAGAAATGTGGGATTATTCAACCAAATTCACAATTTTTTAGGGGTTGTTTGTTTACCTCTTAATAGTTCCATTAAGAGACAACCTCTAAATCATTAAGAGGTGAATCTTGTTTGGTAAAAAAAGTCTGCCTCTTAATGGTTCTAAAGCACTCTGAATGATTTTGTATCTCGGGCCTCCCTTAATCATTAAGGACCCTAATTTCATTGTAAACAATTACATTTTATTTTACACTATATCATGAGAGCCTCTTAATCATTCTGACCACTTAATCATTCTATACCAAACCATTCATGATGATCATGATTATGAATTAATTAATAAAATCATATCATCAGACAGAAAAATGGTCAATTTGACTGTAAAATTCAATGGGACAATAATAGTCAAGATACAAGAAACCAACAATCAAGTGTACTCATAATTTAAGAATATAAACCAATTTTTAATTCAACATGATGCATAAAAGAACAAGAAAAATACTGCATAACCCCCAAAAGAAAACAAGTGATTTTGAGCCATTTTTGGACTATTAGGATGGCACAAAAAGTCAATCCATCTGTTCATATGTGTGTGTGTGGATATATATATATATATATATATATATATATATT